GGGGTTCGAGCCGAAACTACTAATACTTTGATCCGCCGGCATGTACATCTGTTGCCGCAGGGCCGCTGCCGAGGAATTACCAGCTCCGGCCACCTTCACACCGGCCCCGGCACCACTGAACGCATCCGAACTCTGCACGGCAGGACTATTCTGCTGACTGTGGTGGGGGTGTGGATGTGGGTGGCCATGGGGCAGGGCGTGCGGGAGCGGAAGCGGGAGTGTGTGGGAATGTGCGTGCGGCGTGTGGTTGATCGAGTGATGGCCAAGCGGTCCAGCCGTGGACAGTGCACTGTGCTGTGCTTGTACTGTATGGTTATGGTTGTGGGCCTGCGGCGAGTTGAACACGGCTGGGGGATTGACATTAACGTTCACTGGTGCCTGCTGTCCAGCGCCGGGTCCACCAATGCCGCCGGAGGTGGCGCGAAAAGAGCTCATCGGCGGCAGGGCCGTGGACACCGGGCAGTGCATACCGTCGGCGCCGACTCCTACACCGACACCGCCTCCGCCACCCATGCCGAGCCCGTCTGGCTGGTGCACCTGCTGCTGGTCCATGGAGTGACCCGAAAGCGGCCCACTGTTCTGGTACGCCGCTTGACCCATGTAGCTGTTGGTGCTGCCCATCTGCGACTGACACCATGCCCCTCCGCTGCCAGCGGCGGCGGAATCAAAATACTGATCGACGGTCGAGGCGTTGGCATATCGGTTGTTCCCGCCGTTGGCGGCATCGTGCATCGAATTGAAGTCACTGGGGTACATGCCGTTCTCGACGCCCAGGCTGCCGTACGGCGAGTGGTAGCCCCCGCCACCGCCGCGATCCGCCCCGACCGTCCCCGTGGGCTGTTTGTTGGCTATCTTGTTGAAGCAGTTCTGGAACACCTCATACAAGTGCATCGGCTCGTCGTCACTGGTCGCCATTTCAGCAATAGATCTGTAAAACAAGCAGCAACCATTAGCACAGAGTAAATATATAAGAAACTTAATTAAATTCGGTTGAAACAAATTTCCGAAGGACAACCGCACAAATTGCCTTTCTACAGAAATTTTCTATGGCCGACACAGCTTAAAAATGCAAAATATCAAAACAAAGTGGTTATAGCAATTAATTTACGATAATTATTACGTTCAAATTAATGAATAGCAAATGTATCTGAAATATTAAATGCAAAACAAGCTCAAAATTACGTTTATGCTTTATAATCTGTTTTTAATCAAACTACAATCTAAACTATTTATAGTTAGGGTTAACACATGGAAGTAAAAGAAAGTGATAAAAGAATTCTCGGACATATAAAAAGTTTCCATTTCATTTTAATACTATAGAAATAAGTTCTTGTTTTTTATTTTCAGAATTGAAAAATTACTTACTGCAATCAATTTAAATAAACATAAATTTGATTTAAATTTCGCAGGAGAATAACTTAAATTTAAAAAATATAACTATAAACAAATAAAATTAAATAAAGATTAAAATTCAATATAGATATAAAAATATTTAAAACCATTATTTGGGAAAAACATTTTGTAAGGCATTTGATTTGACATTCGTTTATAACATTTAATAAACAGACCCTTCATATTCGAGGATGTTATTGATACATATATTTACAACGAAATTGGTAATCCATGCGAGTTCCAAACGATTAAGATGTTATGTACTGGGCAATACTATAAAGATATTTTAGATCGAAAAAACTAACTGCAAAGTGTATGTTTAGTGAACAAACTCGATTCTAATCTATTTTTAATTATTTAGGCGCAACAGGTAACATTATCAACTTAAAAAAAATATAAATCAAACTCCCTTTTTTGGAAAACATAATAAATTTGACTGTTTTTGATACTCTAACCATAATGGAAATAAATGATAAAATTACCTGATCTAGTAATTGTAAAAAGGACCTCTTAAATTAAATAGTGGAACGCTTCAGGCCTATTTTATACATCTAGAGTAAATTAAGATGATTTTTAACAAAGTAGGAAATGGTTCTTAAAGTGTAATCTGGTACTAGTTGCTGTATAACTTGTAATGTCCTTTCAAATTATTAAAACAAAACATTCCAAACATAACTAAGCTTTGTTTTATTATCTTATTTACCTATGTTTTTGAAAAATAATTTTCTGATATAGAACTATTCACTCCCATAAACAAAGATAAGAAGAAGTAACAGAAAATATAATTGAAGTAAGGCAAACATAACTAAAAGCCAAAACGTGGGCGTGGCAAAATTTATGGAACTAGTCCGTAATGCAAATATGTACATTTAACACACCAGAAAAATTTACACTTTGTTGCACACCAGTAAGAATGAACTCGGGTAAGGAATAAATATATTTCTATTCAACCGAGTTTTCGTTTAATTTAATTAAAAAAAAACATGTTATTTCTTAATGGTTTTAAATGAGTGTAAAATCTAACTTGTCCTGACCTTACTTTACTTGCCTTTTGATAAGATCCATTCTTTTTTGAACTAAACAATTATTTTACATTGTTAATAGAAACAATTTTGATAGAAACTTGGTTACAAAATTAGTACATCCAAAAACCAAATTAATATTAAAACAACATACACATTAACATGTTCTTGAAATTTTTCTACACCTGATTCACAACAATTTTTCGATGAACACATGTACACGGTACTTACATGTAATATACACGTATATGATAAATTAAAACAGTGAATTGGTTGCAGGAAAATAAAATATAAAATATCTTCACAAACGAAAAAGCACATACTTGAATAGCGAAGTTAATTCATACGATTTTACACCTATTTACTTATTTATACATAAGTAGTTACTTTGTTTACGAGCGTTCGTACATATACATACATACATGTGTATGTATGCAGAATCATGAAAATGGTATCCACATACATTCAAGTGGAATTAATTCGTACATAACTTTGTATACTCATTGGTATATATACACATTCAACAAATAAACGTATGCAGATCAAAAAACTGAAAGCAGAGGCAAAAAAAAACATGCCCTGGACCTTATTAAAACACTTTTTGTGAAAAGTACTCACCCTAATATCCACTGTTAATTCTATGTATGCAATTCCTTTTGTTGCAGCGAGTGTTGACGTCGAGCCACAGCCTATGTATTACATATACATATCTTTTTTGTATCAATACGAAGAATCCTTCTATATTCTATAGCGATTGGTAAATTTACCCAATTTTTTTTTATAATGTCGTCCAGTCAACTAGTAAGATTATGTGTTTTTGGATTATATTAAAATGCACAGCGAAAATAAACCGTTTTGTGATAAACTTTTCTTTTACACATTGTAAATATGTATGACACTTTTATTAATTATTTTGTTCCACTGCGATAATGCGAATTTAAACTATAGGTAAAAAATTCTTTATTTATCATTCAGCTCGTTTTAATTTTCGTGTGCTCGGGATCGCCATCTTTGTTCTCTTCGTGCGTCATCTGTAGCGTTGCCATTCGATAAAAATCGATAAGTCTTTCGATATATGAATTTCCACCTTACCCTAAAATCTGAAAAGTAAAGTTTACACTGTGAATGCGAGACCAAACAAGCATATAGGCAAGATATAAATAACTTAATTTTTATATTTTAATTTACGAAGCAGTAACAAGAAAATTTACTAAAGGTACTTTTTTTGGTATGAGCTGAAGAGTTCGAGTATAATATCACTATGCCCAACTTCGGTTTACAGCCGATATCTATATATAATACATCCCCAGTAAATTTTCGAAATCTCTATGCTTGTTCCATTGCTTGTTGGCTAACATATTAAACAACTCAAAATAATGTTTTACGTTTTTGTTTTTTTACCCTAACCTAATATTGTGTTATTATTTATCTAATTTATTTAAAATTATGACTCCAAAACTCAAAACGCTAACTGGCTTAAGGGACGCCGGCTCTGAAAAAGGTAAAAGGCGATCAGCTTTTCTGGGAATACTGACCTTATCATTATTTTTTCTTAAATTAATGAACTACAACTTACAAATTTACTTCGTTAAAACAATAAAACTATATATAAAAAAGGTGGATTTATAGCCAAAAACATACAACACAGCTAATATTTTAAGGTAATTTGTCGGTGGGTTCAAAAGCAGTTTTAGCAAACAAGTTAAAAAAAAAGCATATTTTAGTTTTCTTTTAGTAATAAGGCATGGTTTTAAAAGGTTCAGTCAAGATAGCGCGTTTTCAGGTGGCGAAGAAGTGACGTTTCGCTGAAATCAAAAACTTTTTATTTTCTCGTATCCTTGTATCATTTTTAAGATTCACTTATACATTACTTTTGAAATTTCCTTTTAAATTCTTATGCCGAACATGACAAAATATTACAAATTTACACAACAATGATGTTGTTTTTTAGTTATATAGAAGGCGATAATTTTTGTTTTATTTAGCCCATGGAAAAAGTTCTAGCTAAAAGCAAATGACCAACTCCCATAATATGCCTGTGTAAATTGACCACTTTAATAAAGGCAATCAGTTTATCACGTTATCCTAAATAGTATTTTTGTAATCCAAAACTTGTTTTAACTGTTATATAAGCAGCCCAAGGTGTGAACCCCACCTATTGGTAGGTAGTTGCGTTAAGTTCTTCATTGAGACCTTGCAAATTTGGTGACAGTCGAACTAAACAATCGAAGTTATCGAGCTAAAATGGACATTACCTTTCGAAAAAAGTAAGTTTTAAACTTGCTAATATATGTATTTAGCGAAACGTTTTAAATTAGGAAACAATTTTATGGTGTCAATTCTATATCTCGTAGCGTTTTTAATGAAGAGGTTTTAGGCAGAGTTGTATTTTATGGCTTTTACCAATTTGGAAAACTATCTATGGTATGTGAGCAAAAGAAAGGATACCGCCTTAAGGACATTGAAATCATATAAAATGAGCTCTCAGGGATAAAATGGTCTTTCAAGGTCTTAAGAAATGATTAGTGTCCAACAATGCAGACCTGATCTTAAATATATTGAACTATAAAAAGCAGTTGTGACATATAACACAAAATTGAAAACTTTATTGCATTATAAAAAGCTGCTTATAGTACATTTAGCTCCATCGATAGTGTGCATAGGCCCTGTTGCTTTCGCACTGCCTATGCAAATCGTCCTTGCGCTTTACAACTCTTCCCTGCCCGTGGGCTGCGTCTAGAATCTCCCAAGCTAGTTTCTCCGGCAGGGACACCTTGCGCTCCTTTTCACGGGCTGCTTCCAAGAGCCACTTCATGGAGAGGAAATATGATCGCCTTGTTGTAATGGGAACAGGAACTTGGTAGGTAACACCACCACGTTTTATGGCAGTTACTTGCAGCAAGGGTCTGCAGTTTTCCACTGCCTGTTTCAAAAGCGTTTCGGCATTGGTATTGATGGCATTTTTGTCCCCTTTAGCCAGATTCATGTGCTCGGTCTGCGTGCGTTTTATTAATTCTAACGTCTTTGACAAAAGTGTTCTGGCCAGGGCACTATTTCCTTTCTTCGTTATATAATTTATCATTTTCTCTTTCGTATCATCGTGGAAGACTGTATCAGAAGATTTGTTGACAGCCGCCTTGATTGGAATATGATATAGCTTAGATAATTCGTTCTTTTGCTCATTTTGTTTTTCTTTTTGTACAATAGGATCAACGTAATGTGTGGGATACACCGACATCAGTCGAAGACAACTAAAATAAACAAAAGACGGTGATTGGTAATTCTTGATTGAACATACGTACTACATTGAGTATATCAGGACTTACCTGAATTTTGTTGTTTTCTCTGCAATTCTACTTAAAAACGACATCTTTGCATTTTTTGTTGTCGGTAAAATATATAATTTTTGTTTAAAATATGCTCCGCACAATCGGGGCAGCATGTAAGGACGTCAATATAGCGTCACACGGTTGATATTTTTGAAACGAGTGGAAAATGAAACGGTGAACTTGGTTGGATAACGATATTGTCATGGGGTCGCAGCGTTAATCAGCTGTATTTGTTTACTTTTGCATATTCAAAAGAAATTTAACTGTCCAAAAAAGTTATCCAAATCAAAATTCAGTCCGCAAAAGGAGGCTTGCTTTGTTGCTTAAAAAGCCGTCTCTTTCCTTAAAGACCGTATGAACAAAGCATTAGTCACGCTAGAAAGAATAAACTATTTACGCTGGCGTAAATGTTTGTCGATCTGAGTACTATAACTATACTATAAATAACGGAGCTTAAATGTTTTTTTTGCGAAACCTGAGCATTCATTTTTTGGGTCTGTATTAATACCGATACTGACGCAAAAAATGAATTTTAATAAAGCGACGTTCCTATCATAGATGTTCATATGCATATTACCACTATAAAATATGAATTTGAATTAAGAGTCGTTGATATATGTATTTTTAAGTTAAAGTTATACAAATATTTAAAATGTAATGTAAAACAAGACCTACATTTATGCTTTGTACCTTTCTCACATTCCAAACGACACAAAAAATTTCCTAACTTAGTGCCCTCGCATATTTCAGTTTGTACAGTCTGGCAGCATTAGAGCATATACGTAAAAAACGCGCTCATTTAAAAGTCTGTGGCTTGCAAATAATTATACAAATTATGGAGGATTTTGAGAAAATTGAGAAGATTGGCGAAGGCACTTATGGTGTGGTTTACAAGGGTCGCAATCGTCTTACGGGCCAAATTGTGGCAATGAAGAAAATTCGCTTGGAGTCGGACGACGAAGGCGTTCCATCGACCGCAATCAGGTAAAATGCCCAGGCTTGGATGCCAGAGCCTCACCATAGAATCAGACCCATCAAAGTCATTTTTATTAGGTCTATATAACAAACTAGTGATCAACATGTTGCTAAATGAAATCGTTATTTCTTAAGATAGTCGGGATAGATTTCCACAAACTGATCGCAGTTTACTCTGTGAACTCGTTAGCATTACTACCGACTAGCATACATACATACATATGTATTTACTTATGTATATGCGTACATCATATCTATGGATGTGTGTTCATCACGCTTTCTATATGGACGTGTTAAACATTTATGTATTGTATTTCATATCCTTTGGCTTAATGATTAATTCATCACATTAAAATATACAAATTTATTATTTTACTATAGAACTTAAAGCTCTCGAAGATATTCCTAAGCCAAAATGTTACTTTTATAATGGAAGAAATAAATATGATTCCCTCGTTCTTATAGAGAAATTTCGTTGCTCAAGGAGCTAAAACATAAAAACATTGTATGTTTGGAGGATGTTTTGATGGAGGAGAATCGCATATACTTGATCTTTGAATTCCTATCGATGGACCTCAAAAAATACATGGACTCGCTGCCAGTAGATAAGCATATGGAAAGCGAATTGGTTCGAAGCTATTTGTATCAAATAACCAGCGCCATTCTGTTTTGCCATCGTCGAAGAGTTCTTCACCGTGATCTGAAGCCGCAGAATTTGCTAATCGACAAGAACGGCCTTATAAAAGTGGCAGACTTTGGTCTTGGTCGATCCTTTGGCATTCCAGTACGAATTTATACTCACGAGATCGTGACTTTGTGGTACAGGGCCCCGGAGGTACTTTTGGGATCACCCCGGTATTCCTGTCCCGTCGATATCTGGTCTATTGGGTGTATATTTGCTGAAATGGCATCGAGAAAACCTCTATTTCAGGGAGACTCGGAAATCGACCAGTTATTCAGAATGTTCAGGTAACTACACGCAATATATCATACAGTTTCATTGATAATAACACTCTATTTGATGTAGAATTCTCAAAACACCAACAGAGGATATTTGGCCGGGGGTTACTTCACTTCCCGACTACAAGAACACTTTTCCCTGTTGGTCTACCAACCAATTGACGAACCAGTTAAAGAATCTCGATGCTAACGGAGTAAATCTTATTCAAAGTATGTTAATCTATGATCCGATACATCGCATTTCCGCCAAGGATATTTTGGAGCACCCATATTTCCATGGTTTTCAATCGGGCTTAGTTCAAAATTAACGTTCAGTATTCTGGTTTTACTCTAATAACATTTATAAGCAAGAAAAGTTGAAATCTAAACTAAAGCAAAATAGCCGTAAAATAAAAGTAAGAGTGTAAAACAATCTGGGTTTGGTTCATTTCTTAGTGTGCCTTTAGTTTGGTCGTTATCAATTATACCAAGGTATATAACCATAGACGGTAAGTTATTTGTTATCTTTAATGGTCAAAAATTTAGACATTAAATAGATTTGGTTTTAATTTCATTAGGAACATTTTTAATTTACTTTTCCGGTACAGACTTAGTCCAAAAATTTAAAAAAGGAACTGATCTTCGATTCTATAAAATAATTTGCTTAACACTTCTCGTGTTTTTATTTTTGAAGACCCTTTTGTAAAACAAGGATACACTTTTTTTTTATAAAATTTATTTACAGTTTTGAAACGGGGTTTAATTTAAATAATCGTCATCAAATCGACGTGATAATGTAATGTATGCTCAGACAGTTGTAAAAATAAGTTTGTCGCGGGATAATAAGTTACAAGGTAAGCAAACGCCAATTATGTGAATTTTTAAATGGTGGAGTGAGCGGAGTCACTCAAGTTTCTTTTATAGATAAGTTATATCTTAAGTTAGTAGAAAACTAAAATTAAATATGGAAATCTTCATTGAAACTAGTTCTATTGTAGAGAGCCCGATCGGCAACGCTATCGTGGCGTCTAAAGACCCCAAAGCAGCCGCGTCTTTTCATCACGTAGGCGCCTAGAAGAGTTGGCACCGCAATAAGCAAAACAACCAGGAGTCCAATCCAGACTAGACTTCCGCTCGAACTTTCCACCAAATGTTCATCTGCCACTCTTAATATTTCCACGCCTTTCAACGTAGCTGGACTTGCACACTGCACATTTTTAGCCAGAACCTCGGTGGTTTTGTTCACTTGACCTATTAAAACATTGATCAGGTAATCGTTGGAAGTGTCGCAGGACCACGGATTAAATCTGAGGTCAAGCGCTTTGAGCTTATCCCATCGCACAAGTAGAGGTTTTGGCAGGATCGTAATGTTGCAATTATTCAAGTACACCTGAAAATTAGATATTGGTACAGATTATTTTATAATGTCTTATTTTTAATTACCTTTTCTAATGGCGGATAGTCCAAGTACTGTCCTCCAGTAACGTTCTTCGACAAAGCCTCCTCGTCAATTTCGTTAAGAAATTTATTATCGGACAATATCAGTTCCTTTAGACCTAGTAAAAAGTAAATGATTAATTTTTTTGGATTTTATTATTCACTTATTTTCATTTTAAATGTTTTCTAGTTGAATTTACTTACTTTGTAATTCACTTAAAGCTCCAGGTCCTATTTTGTACAACATAGCCATAAAGGTCATACTCAGATGGTTCAATTTGGTCAACGGTGGAAATATACTAAATAGGTTTTATTTCAATTATGGTTTGATCAAAATATAAACCTAAAATTCCTCTTACTTATCTCCAACAAGACTTTCAATGGGGTTTTCATTTAAAACAAGGCTGGTCAAGTTCGTGGCATATTTCAAGGCCTTTGGTAATTGTTTAAAGAGATTTCCAGCTGCAATTAGAGTTTCAAGATCTCGGGGTCCATGAAGAACTGTTTCCGGCAAATCATCAATTTCCATATACGAAATGTCTAAAATCTAATATAAATATAAACCAATGGGACCACTAGGTTATTTCAAAACATAAGAAAAAACTTTGCATACGTACCTTCAAAGATGATAGTCCGGAAATGGCAGTTTCTGACAGTTTATCAATAACGTGAAAGCTGTTTCGGCAGAGAACTAGCTCCTCTAGATAGGGAATGTGTTCAAACAAATCTGGATCCAAGTTATGCAGATCATTGTAACCCAAATTAAGCGTTCTCAACTTTTCTAGTGATTCATAATCAGCTTTAGTGTAGGGTCCTTGAAAAACATCCGGCACAAGAACTTTCGATGTCAATCGGTTATGGGACAGATCGAGGATCGTTAGCTCAGTTAAATTCTGAAAGGCTCCCTCAACAATTGCATCTATTTGGTTGTTTGACAAATACAAATTTTCTACATCGTATTTCGGTAGAATTGAAATTTTAGTTAAGTTGTTGTGCTCTAAATTGATGGTTTTGAACACAACATCTCCGTTGGTCAAAAGTTCCCATTCCTCAGCAGACAGCCAATCCTGAAGTTTCTCACTGCAATCGAGCAAGCTGTTTTCAAAATCGCAACTGCATTTCTTGCATAGCTTGCTCTCCTTTAATTTAGTTTTCTCCTGTAAATTAAGGCACAATTAATACAATTTTGAACTAAATTTAAGAATTAGCCATTAATTAGTCATTAGTGTCGGTCCATACATTTGGTCATCGAAAGTTTTGTGGATTTTTAAACCCTTCCTATACAATCAATTATATTTACAAAAAATCTTGGAGATCCACAGAGGATCATCTTCTTGCTCGGGAACTTTAAAATTATCTTTAAAAGTTTAGCTCTTCCCTTAAAACTTTTCTTCTATCGTAGATTACTAAGCATTATGGTGAAGGTTTGTATTTTTGTTTTAGTTATCGTTATCATTTCACCTTTGCAATACCTTTTCCTTATCGCGCTTTGATAGCGGTCTTTTTTACACTCGGAGAATTTATAATAATTTAGGTCAAATGTTGGCAACGTAGTTAATGATAAATAAGTGTTCCCGTAAAATAAATATGTGTTAATAAGATTTTATACACGAAAAAGGTATTTAAAATTCTTCGATATCGTTACACATTAACTTGCCAAATAATTGAATTGAGGTATATATTTATTTTAGGTCATAAAGCGTATAAAAACTCCGGCTTTCTTTCTCGTTTTTTTCACTTCTACCGCGATCTTATCGCCTCGATGATAGCGTTTTTATAAACTCTTAACTTGCTTTCGAGATAGGGTAGTATCACAAAAATTAAAAAAGTTAAGAAATGACACATTCCGAATAAAACTATATGGATTTCACAAAATATTGCGAAGAAAACTTTGAATTCCATTTAGAACCATTATTTTTATAAGCTAAGATCTTTAAAACTTCACTTAGGAACAAATTTTATATAGGTATACATATATATATGTACCTTTGGTGATTCTGGTTTTGTGGTTGTAGTTTCATTATTCGATTGGCAAGTAACTTGGCTCACAACGATACAAAAAATCGTCACAGCTAAAATAACTGACTTTGTTAAATTCATGTTTACGAAACTGCTTCCGGTAAAACACAAAATTTTTTGGCTTGTTCACCGGCCGATTAAATGTACATGACTAACAAGCTAACAAAGCCCGACATATTATATTCGCCGAGAGTTTATCTTATCTCTTCCGAAGCAGTGATAGCACTAACCAACAAAAGCGTATTTTACCCGGTTTTTAAACATTTTATATCATTTTTATGAGTTGCCAAGGTGTGTTTAACAACAAAACCCTTCTCGCCGTTTTTAAAAAAGCATCTTGAACATAGAAGAAAATTTTAAATAACATTTTTAATTCCGCCTTACTCAAAAATATTTTAATTAAATATTTTTTTTTAAGTCTGACTTGAAAAATGTTGACAAGAATATGTACAATAAATATGTATAAATATATCCCACAATACCATTATTCAAGAATATTAGAAATATATTTTTTTTTATTTAATATTAGCTCTGCTTAAAATTGTCGTTTTCATAGTGTAAGCACATTGCTTAAAGTAATGATAAGATAGGAAATCAGGCTGATATTGTCTGTGACTAAGTTAAGGCCGAATATATACAAATAGGTGCACAGCGCGCCTATATTTGATTGCAGGAAAAATAATATTGTCAAGAATAAAATAAAAATGTACGTTTCTTTGAATATTTTTTTAATAGTTTTTACAGAACATTTGCTTTAGAAGCTAGCTTATTTTGCAGGTAAATTGTTGAAAATTTCCCCACAAGAAAAACAACAAAAAGTGCCCGCAACTTATAACAGAGATAACTAAAGGCCAAAGATCAGGAAAACGCGAAGGGGCTGGGATTGTTAAAAAAGCTCCCACAATACAAATGATCAAAATGTTTGATATATTTGCAACGTACTTCAATAGATATTCGTTATCAAGCTTTGCCTTTGAATTAAAACAATTAAATATCAAATGAAAAGTCACAGTGGATACTAATGCAGGCACCAACAATTCATCTTTCGTCAGAAGAGGTAACATGCTAAATAAGGAAACCTGAAGGAAAATAATCATTTCCTTGGGCCACCATTTCATCAAGAACAGTGATGGCAAAGCAGCCAGTAAAATTGTCTTTTCGTGTACCTTAAAAGAGAATACTTTAACATAAAGTTTTAATTATAAATTTTAGTTTCTTACTTGGAAGGAAAACAAAAAGAAAGCCAGAGCTGTATTGAAGAGAGCTAATAAAAATCCGGCTTTAGTTCGTTGCCGAAAGAGGAGAACATTTGTGGGAAGTGCAGCAATTGAAGTGCATCCAATGCACACGAGCGCCATTTGATCGTTGCGTAAATGTTTCCTGTAATTTATGATATTATTAAATATGGAATGTCTATTTTAAGTGAGTCCACCTACTTCAATTTCCAAACTACGTTTACGGCGCACCAAACGTTTGCCACTTTGTCTTCAAAAACTCCTCGAGCCACAGGAAAAAGGCGATGCAAGACTTGAAGAGCCGCTTGAAACGATCCCAGCCAGGGTATCCATAAAATTGCAAATGTTGCAAGAACAACGGCAGCTATCCGCGAGATTTGAGAGGCAAAAGAAGTAAAGCTGCAGGTTAAATAAAAATAAAGTGCCATCAATGAGTAAAAGTTAATAGATTAAGAGTATCACTATAAAGTTGTTTACTAGAGCCCTGCAAGAGTGAAATCTAGAGCATTTTGGAGAATGTTTTTAAAATCAATTTGCTTAGCTTACATAAAAAATATACTCATTTTATGAACCAATTAATTATTTAGCAACCTAGATATTAAAATGTTTTCTAGTTAACGGTTAGAAAAATTAGGTATATAGTTATACAGTGAGCATTGGAAACCTTGGTTTAACATATGCAGGACTCTAGTTTGAATATTTTCCTCGGATTTTTTGAAATAATGGGTTTTTAATCATAATT